AAGATGTGATAGTTCTCCGATGGACTCGGGAAGACTCTCGATGGATGTGTCGTTCAGAAGCAGGACTCTCAGCTTCCTTAGCTTTTTAAACAGATCATCTCCAATTGTACGGGCACGAGGGCTATCAAAGATGAGCAAAGATCTTAAACACTTCTCTTCAACGATTCTGTCGGGGAGCTGTATCCTCTCCCCTATGTTTGATGTTGACAATCGACGAAGCTTAGTTAATGGGTCCGAATTCAATGATTGGAGATCACTGACATAGACACCCTCTCCTTGGATCAAGGACTGAGCAAGCGATCTCAAAAGATCATGCATGGTGCATCTGCTGCCGTCTACAAAGGTAGGATCCACCTGCAGTAGGTTTCGCCAGATCAAGTCCTCGTAATAACCCTCGGCAATCTCTTCCATCGATAGTTCTCCGTTCTCCTCTGTGAATCCTTCAGCCACCCAAAGCCGGATAAGATCCTTACGGTACATATCAGCCTTGTCGGGAAACAAAGAGCAATGCAGAAAGCACTGCTTAAGATGAGAAGGTAAATCTTCATAACTCAAGAACAAAACCCCCAGTACATTCTCATCGAACTTCTTCATCCTCCATAGATCACTTCTGATAACCCTTTCCCACTCCATCGGACTTCTCCTGGATCTTAAAACCCCCGCAAGAACCTTGATTGCGAGAGGAAGTCCATCACATTTTTGAACCAATTTATTTCCAATTTTTTTGAATCTAGAAATATCGTCCTTCTCTCTATTATCCCAAACCGTCTTCCACAGCAATTCCCAGCCACACTCTTCATCCATTTTCTCAACATGATGAACATTGTCTCCCAAATTTCTTGCCACGTTTTCGTCTCTAGTTGTAACTACGATCCTACAATTACTGGTTGCTCCAAGAATCAAAGGGTTCTTGAGTAAATCTTCCCATACGTCTGCACTCCATACATCGTCTAATACCAGAAGCAAATTTCTCGATAGGAGGGAAACAAGTTTAGGTTCAAGTTCCGCTCTACTCTCAGCTCCTTCAACACTTCCTCCTACGCTTCTAATCATTTCTTTAAGCAAATCAGTCTCTGAATAGTCCTTCGTGACACACAACCATGCTCGAATCGGATAGTTTTGTATGATCCTTTCATCATTGAATATTTTACGCGCTAGAGTGGTCTTCCCAATCCCGCCCATCCCGACAATCCCAAAAACAACACACTTTGGCTTCTCACTGATCTCCACTATGGAGTTGATCAGATTTTGGGCAGCGCCTTCGATTTGGGTTCCTATGATGTCTGCCTTAACCTCTATGGAAGATGTCTCACGAGATCTTACTGGGTGAAGTGGGAGGGCTTTTTCGACGATCTCTACATCAGGTATTATAGATCTATCTCCCGTGATCTCTTTCAGTCTTTCATTAAGACTATTTATTCTGCCACTGATTTCATGGCGGTCTATGATAGGTCTAAAGAAAGGAGGATTGCTTACCTTCAGCAAGCTGCCACCTTCGAAGATGCAAAGATCGACGATATCGTCAGCGTCGTACATGACATCCTTCAACTCCCTCACCCAGGTGTCCATGTCCGAATCTACATGCCTTCTTTGCTCTGCAGTGCGAAGAAAGCCTTTGATCCTCGTCAACCTTCTCTCCAGAGTTTTGACCTCCGCCCCCACGCATAGCACTTTGCATATCTCTCCCTCCGCGAAGTTGGTTATCTTTTGGAGGAACATTTTTACGGAAAA